ACCTACATACCACAAATTTTGCTCTTGAACTGTGCCTGGCTGGTTGTCTACAGAATTGAAGAACTGAAGCCCCAGGTGGGGAGGAGACACTTGCAGGAAGGAGTGCATACCTTGATGTGCGCAGGGCTATGGCTGTGCTGTTCATCACACAGCATGCCTATTCCACTTGTGAGAATCCCTTGTGAGATCTCTCACCTTAGGAACTGCTCACAGCATCGAAATGACAGCCCACTAGTTTTGCACAGCACAGCAATAGTGTATGATGCTTTTATGTGAGCCAGCAGAATTTGAGCAATGTTTAGCTTGTATGAATAAAGGGAAGACATGTATTCTTCTCAAAAAGCATCCTTTTTCCTGCTGAGATTTTCAAAGTTTAGGAAGGAACTCAAACTTAGAGATAGTAAGAGAGTTGTTAAATTTTGTTCAGTGTTCAGCTTCCTTTTGGCTGAGAATGCAGATTTGGGCCTCAACGTTTAGACTCTTGAATGTATTTATCCACTGGATAAAATTCAAAAGTGTGGGAGAGTACTGCTTACTAAGCAGAAACATCATTTGCAGCCTTTCATGGTCACTCACTTCTGAAATCAGATCTTTGCCAGGCAACAAATATGAACGCAAATGAAAAATTTCAGACTCTCTTGCAACATGATGGTCAAAAAATACCTTTCAGGATGGAGTTCTGTTAAGGAGTCTTTGTTGTAAATGCAAATTGTTTTCCTGTAAGTTTTTACTTCTGTGTCTGTGTGTGTGTGTGTGTGTGTGTGTGTGAGAGAGAGAGTGAGAGAGAGAGAGAGAGACTTGTCACTGTTGAGTGCTGTGCTACTTGTAGTGTTTCTATGCTTCCATTTTTGTGCTGGGTCTCAGAGCTATTTCTGCTGAGATCCCTGTTGCTCCTTAATCCTATCCTGGTGCATAACTCACTAGCTCTGCTGCCAGTCCCCTACATATTGTGTCTGTCAATACAGGTGAACTCCCGAGCTGGTTTCAGGCTACAAGACAACCATTTCTATATACCTGAAATGAAAGAGATTATCCGTGATTTTCATATCATGGGCATACCAGTAAGTATACAATCTTAGCTGCAATAGAAAATGCTTATTTCACTATTTTGTTTAATAAATCAGTATAAGCAGAAATAAACTCTAGACTTCACCCCAGTGACAGTGCATTTCCCCACTTCTCCAGCTGTTCTAAATAAATCAAGCTATTTATGATCTCAGTATTTTAGCAGCTACAATAGTGCTTTTCCATTGATGAGCCCCTAGTTCTGCATGCCAGAGTTGTTCCCAGCATGTCCCTGCCTATAGCAGAGGGTTGGAACTAGAAAATCATAAAGATCCCTTCCAACCCAAACCATTCTATGATTTTATGATTCTATCATCTTAAGTAGATCTATTTGCTTCAAACTGGCAATGAGTACAAAATAGAACCACCAAGCATTGTTACTATGCTTCTTGTATACTTTTAGATGTTATGCCATTTATTTAACAGAATTTTGTGAAGGCTCTTTAAACTTTTATAGACAAACCTTATCGAACACTTCTATTTACTTGTATCTAAAACAAACCAGTGGCAATAATAAACAAAAAAATCTGTGAAATGGTTCGCTTCTCGGTGATAGGAAGGCATGAAAATTAGCTATCAAATGCAATCAGTGTCACAGGAAATAGCATGAATCATAGAAACACAGAATCATAGAATTGCTTGGGTTGGAAAAGACTTTAAAGATCATTGAGTCCAACCACAACCTAATCATACTACCCTAACTCTAAAAACTCTCTGCTAAATCATGTCCCTAAGCACCACATCCAAACAGATTTTAAAGACATCCAGGGATGGTGACTCAATCACCTCCCTGGGGAGCCTATTCCAGTGCTTAACAACCCTTTGAGTAAAGAAGTTTTTCTTGATATGCAACCTAAACTTACCTTGATGCAACTTAAGGCCATTTCCCCTCATCCTGTCACATGTCACCAGTGAGAAGAGACCAGCCCTGCTCTCACTGTAAGCACCTTTCAGATATTGGAAGAGAACAATAACGTCTCCCCTCAGCCTCCTTTTCCCTAGACTAAACAGCCCCAGTTCCTTCAGTCTCTCCTCATAGGGCATATTCTCCAAGCCCTTCACAAGCCTTGTTGCCCTTCTTTGGACCTGCACCAGCAACTCCATGTCCTTTCTGTACTGAGGTGCCCAAAGCTGAACACAGTACTTGAGGTGAAGCCTCACCAATGCTGAGTACAGGGGCAGGATGACTTCCCTAGTCCTGCTCACCACACCATTCCTGATACAAGCCAGGATTCCATTGGCCTTCTTGGCCACCTGGGCACACTGCTGGCTCATATTCAGCCGACTGTCCATCAGCACACCAAGGTCCCTTTCCATCAGGCAGCTTTCCAGCCACTCCTCCCCAAGCCTGTAGGGTTGCTGGGGTTGTTGTGACCAAAATGCAGGACCTGACACTTGGCCCTATTGAAACTCACACAGTGTATCTTGGCTCATTGATCCAGTCTATCCAGTTCCCTCTGTAGTGCCCTTCTCCCCTCAGGCAGATCAACACTCCCTCCCAACTTGGTGTCGTCTGCAAACTTACTGAGGGTGCATTCAATCCCCTCATCAAGATGTTAAATATGTTAAATAGAAGCGGCCCCAGTATGTAGATACTATGGGCTTTGTTAGGCCAAAAATATCTGGCAACTTGGCTGGATTTCGCATGCCAACTACGTAATTCTTTCATAAACTTTTGTGAGCTAATGTACCAATTTTGTACTGATTAACCAGGACAAAGAAGGAAGATTGAAAAAAAAATAATACTACAAATTAAATGGGACAGTTACCTGAAGTTGCTGCCATATCACACTATATGTGTAACACCCTGCACTAGATTACTCTGTATGCTGATACCTTATTGATATCATTATGAATAATAAAACCAACAGCCTTTAACAACAACATGTAACCTGAGCATCCTGGACATTTTTTCTATGTGTTTTGATTTAACTCAAGTATGGAAAAGGCTATTAAAATCACTTTCTATTTTATTCCTGAGGTACTGTAACACAAATGTCTGCACAGGCAGTTCTGCAAAATTTCAGATGTCTCTCTGACAGGGTTTCCCACGCATGGAAATATGTTTAGAACCTGCTTTTATAAAGTGTGCCTCTATTGGTATAGCATATAAATACACATCAAAGGCATGTTCCAGAAATACAGGATGGCAGTTCAGTCTCTACACGTACCCTTAAATCTGAGTTTGCAAGTGAAAATCAACAGACCTTTTATTTTCATCTTTGTAATTTCAGCTGACAGTGCTGATTAAATATCCCTGCATTTTTGACATGAAGCACAAGCTGGCGATTCATCTTTTAGAATGCAACAGACTGTCTTTGTGTTTCAACATTGTAAGTATGGCCTTTTTCTTCTTCCCAATTTAGAATAGAGAAGCACACTTCTAACAGATAGTTATCTTATTCTTCAGTATCCAAGCTTATCCAACATATTCAAGAAACAGTGGATTTTTCCTGTCAGAAGAGAATGCCTCCTGCATGACATCTGGAATCATTTAAGAAACGCGACGAACAGCCAATTCACACATCTCTTACAAGTAAGACATCAAACTACGTGTTTTTTCTTCAGCTCTAAATCTATTACTGCAGTGTTCTGAAGTATTGTAAGAAAGTTCTGCTGGGGACATAAGTAAATCAGGAGAGTAGTACCATACATTCTTATTCCAAGTAGCTAATAAGCATTGTGGGTATAATTTAAATGCAATTGGCAGTGCTATTTACTGTGAAGGTGCTCTGGAATAATGTAATAGGATTGCTCAGGAAACCAGTTAATTGGTGAATTCTAGTACTATTACTGCTAGATTCACTTTACTAGGCTAATTTGCTGTGCATGAAAAACCTGGTGGACAGATTTTTCTTGCCAGCACTATAGGCCAGCAAGTGACACGGTCAAAAAAAAGCCATTTCTCTCATGGTGATGCTGCCTGGAGGGAAAGGAAGAATAATGCTCCCATGAAGGAGGAAAACCTGATTATAACGCTGCTGTTTCTCTGTGATTTTATTTGTGGTTTCCCCTGTACAAAGGTTTTGGTAGCCAGATCTTCACGTATTGCAGTGCCAGCCCTTTCCTGCGCAAGAATTTGTTGGCTGACATGGGATCTGGACACCTGGTTCCCTGCCCAGAGCTGAGCTGAGCTCAGCCCAGGGACCAGCTGCCTGTGTTCTCAGTCACTGACACGAGGGTTGTCTGGTACTGTGCCTGTGCAGCAAGACATTACCCAATTCTGGTTCTTCCCAATGCGCCTTCTTGTCAGTGAGTTGTCAGAACTTTTCCTTCATATACATCTAGGAAAAGATTCACAAGTGGTTTCTAGAGCTACCTTTCCTTTTTTCTTTCTCACTATGTCAGCTGAAAAAGGTGGTAGTGTTTTTTTAAACATAGGCAATACGGTTTGTGCTCTGTACTATATTCTAAATGAACCTCACTCCATTGATGGCACAAAGAGCCCTGACATAACTGTGCTTACCTCGAGTAAGCCCTCCGATATCCCTTTCATGCATCCCAGCATTATTTGTGCAGCAGTAGCCTGAACAGTGTGATTACTTTGTTAGCTTCTTACCAGTAGACACTGGCTAAGATCTGCGATGTTTGCAACACAATATTGCAGTTCTGATTCTTTTCAGCTGTTACAGGACATTGCGTCACTCCATTCTCTAGTGTTGCTGTAAATGGGAACAGGGAAAGCTGAAGCACTCAGCAGAAGAATCTTCTGTTCCCTCTCTACTAAGGAGGAGATAGTGTTAAGGAGAAAGATACTCGACATGTATATAGTGTCCAAACAAAATTCTTCCTTCAACTCAAGGCCTGTTGTCAAACATTAAGCTTAGTATTTTATTTTACGTTCCTCCAACACTAAAACAAATGCATTTCAATACATCAGGTCAAGGCAAACAAAATCAAAGCTCATGAATCAAAGAGAGATTCGTACCAGCCCATGTTGTCACTGCTTATTATTTGATGTTATTTCAGTTAGGGTGCAGTTGTCTAGCACAGATGGTTACCCCCTAGCAGATTTTCAGTAGCCACTAGAGACTTTGTTAGTTCTCCTCCTCCTCTTCCTTCACAGTAATTAACAGGCCTGTTGCAGAGGACTGCATACAGTTCAGACACCACCAGGAAAATACTGACAGTCACCAGCGCCACAACAGAAGTTTCAGATCAATTGCGAGACCTGGCTAAATTAAACAAACTGCGTTGCTCTAGAGAAGCCCAGGGGGTTAGCAGAGGCACTGCGCTAATTGTGCCTAAAAAGCTTAATCCCCATCCAAGTCCACAAGTGGAAGAACACATAAACCGGTATCGTGACAGGAAGCAGGAGGCTGTAGAAACACAAGCTGTTGGTGCTGGTGCAGCCCTGGGGGAAGGTTTCATCCACGCTGGCCGAGTAGAACAAGCCCGCTAGGGACAGGAGAGGAACGAGCACGGTCAGCGTGGGCAGGGAGGGGAGCAGGCCGCCCGCTGCCATCGGCGCGGCGCCCTCACGGCTGCTCCGAGCCCTCCGCCGGGGGCCGCTTCCGCGTCGTCCGGGCTGCCTCCGGGATCATGTTCGGGATGCCATCGATGATGGGGTACGCGATGCCCAGCTCCTCGTTAACGAGCTCGTTAGTCGATTCTTCGTACCTGGGCAGCCGAGCGAAAAAAAGAAAAAAAAAAGAAAAACAAAAAGTCAAGGGAGGCGTCAGCGAGCTGGCTTTGCCTTGAGGCCCGCCGCTCGCTCGCAGGCTCCGGGCCCTCACCTCAGCGGCCGCTTGGAGAGCGGGCACACCAAGAAGCGCAGCAGCGACGGCTCCAGCGGCCGCCCCGGCCCGGGGCCCTGCCGCTCCTGCCCGCTCGCCCTGCGGCTCCCCGCCGCGCCCCGCAACGCGGCCGCCGCGCCGCGCCCGCAGCCGCGTAACATGGCGCCACCCCGGGCCGCCGCTCCGCCTCCGGTGCCCGGCGGAGCCGTGCCGGGCTGCGCGCCGCCGCCGCCGCGCTGTGGTTCCGGGGCGGCTCGCTGCTCGGCCGCTCTCACCATGGCTGTCGTCGGGCTCGCAGGTGCTCTTCGAGGGCGAAGAAGGGGAAGGAGATGGGCTGCGCAGGGAGCTCTTCACCGTCGCCGCCAAGGCCCTCTGCGATCCCCAGAGCGGTGTCTTCCGCCACTTCCCCTCCGGGCTGGTGTGGTTCCCCAGGCAGGTAAGCCTGCTCGCGAGCCGAGATGCTCGAAGAGAGAGAGAGGCGTTACTTCATCTGTTTTTTTATATTCTTGTTTGGTCAGGCGTCAAGCCACGGCGACACCTTTCTGCTGGCTGGCACCCTCTTAGGAATGGCCATGTATAACCATTGCCAGATTCCATTCCCCTTCCCCAGGGCTCTCTTCAAGAAGATGCGGGATGTCGAGCCGACCCTGGAGGACCTGGAGGAGCTGATACCAGCAGTCGGCAGGTATGGAACGTTAGTGTCCTAAGCTGTAAGATTCCTAAGACAATTCTTAATTTTATGTGCAGCTACCGCTGAAGCGAGTCTTCTTGATTGGTGATTCACCCAGCAATCTTGGAAGCGGTACTTTACTGTGTTAACTAACAGTTTCCACTATGATTTCAAGGTAGACAGACCTTACGTGCAAGCACAGTTTTAACCCATACTGCAGGCATGTCAAATCTGGCTGCCCACATGCTGGGTTTCCACTGCTGAGAAATATTTCAGGCAGATATTGCAGAACGAGTTGCTGCTGCTACAACACTGAGCTTGTAAGTCCCTGAAGCACTGAAGCCCTGAAGCACTCCACACAAGTGCTATAAACAGCCCATCACAACCTCTTCCTTGGAGCCCGTGACTGTGTCGAGGGGCAAGAGCCCTCAGTAGACTGAAATGTCAGGTTGCCTGCAATGCTTTGAGAGACACTGCTCTACAAAACAATTCTTCCAGATCATCCCACTGATGGACAATGCAATTCCTTATTAAATGATCTTTGAAAGAAAAAAGCTGTGGTCTCAGCCCATTTGCCACTGGAATTGGTCTCTGTGTGAAATCGCCAAAGTGCATGGAGATAATCTTGCTTTGCATCCTTCACTGTCAAAGCATTTCCCTCAGATCATGGCATGAGAAGAATACAAGTTCAGTTTAGAGCTTTTTATGAAGGTTTGGTGTGAGTATGGGTGTTCTGTCCATATGTGCATTTAAACACTGCTTGCCAAAGAATGCTTTCCAGCCAGTTTGAGACTGTGATGAATTATCCTTATGTCCCTTCTCTATTTCCTCTTGCCCTCCCCCCTCCCCCCCCCCCTTTTTTTTTCTTGAAAGGAATCTTAAGAATATTTTGAAGGAAGAATCTGAGCATAAGCTTGAAAGTCTACAGATGACCTTCGTGGTAAGCCTTCACTGTGTCATTCACATGTGCCATGCATGTAACACAGGCAATACAGTATCCCATCACAAGTGATAAAAACTTGTCTGTAAAATCCAACTAGCAAGGGTATAGAAAGAAAAAGTGATAGATATAGCTCATGTATGCCTATCACATATATAGGTATATATATAAATACAGATTTAGTGTCTGATGTTTTTCTTTATTTGCACAGCAAATGGAAGAAGGAGGTTCTGTGGTTGAGCTTAAAAAAAATGGTGCCAACATTCTTGTCACTAAGCATAACAGGTCAGTTTTATTTTTCTTATCCTGTTATGTGTTTATGAAATATCATATCTATAGAAAATACCTATTAGAAAATACTGAGTGTGAATAGTGTTGTTGGTCTCAGTCCAGCAGCAAGAGCCATGTGCTTTCAGATTGTGCTGTATATATGCCAGACATTAGCAGTTTGTGCAAGCAGTGGATAAGACAGGGATCCTGGGAAATCCTGGCATTGGCACAGTTGTACCCAACCTTATTAGGGAAATTTTTAACAAACATAAAATATGACTGAACAGCATTTTCAGGGATATTATAGACAACTTGATGCATCTTTGTAAAGTTCTTTTATGAGCAAAATATTTCTTCCTTAGTTACATATATGAAATGTATCTTGTACATAACAGAAAAGGAGCAATTTATCAATGAGGTGTTATGTCAATCATTAACCTCAGCACAGAGTGCAGAGAACAAGTCTGTGGCGTGTGACTGCTCTCAGTAAAGACTGTGTGCTGGCAGTTGTATAGTCAATGAATATACAGATGTTATAATTAAGAAACATCCAGGAAAGTTAGGCTAAGTAAGATTATTGTAACAGGAAGATAATAAATGGAAAATGCTTACCAGTGTTGTAGGCTCATAATATTCTCCACAAGGAGTGATCCCCAGGAAGAGATCCTTCCTCGGTGCCAGTCAGCACTCTCCATTAGGAGAAGTGCAGCCAGGTTCCACCCCTTCCGGTAGCACAGGTGAATTACTTTCACCTGTGCTCCTGTGGCTGATTCATTGCTTGCGTCATGTGGTCAATCAGAGGTTCAGGCCGTGATTCAGCAGTTCCCATACAGCAGTAAAGCAGGTGGTATGGAATAAAGAATAAGAAATAAAGTTCTATATATTTCTCCTTTTCAAAAATCACCTCTTCTTGTGTTGCTTGTTTGAATCAAAATATCTTCACAGGAAGGAATTTGTTGACTTGTACGTGAATTACGTGTTGAACGAATCAGTACAGAAGCCATTTGAAGACTTTATGCGAGGTTTTTCAAGAGGCTGCCCAGCTGAAAGCTGGAAGATGTTTCTCCCTGTTGAGCTCCTGATTTTTCTCCTGGGACACACAAATTATGACTGGCATCTGCTAAAGAAGGTATCAGTTACAAGCAGAGTGGCCTTCTGCTGTTATGCACAAGCTGTTTGCTAAGCATAAACTCTTTCTGTCCTGTTCTATTACTGGATGCTTAAGTCCTAAATACAAAAATAGTAGCTCAGGGGAATGTTTTTATCATTTGTATCATTGTTTTGATCAATTTCTAAACTACACTAGGTACAAGAGTATAGGGTAATAAAGATCAGTTTTAAAAAAACGAATGAACGGGCAGATTCTAGGCATGAGGAGGATCTGAACACCTATGAATGGGATTATGAAATTTATCAGATAAACTCTTGCTGCTTTCAATAAAAACAGAAATAGCAAGGCCAATTTTAATTTTATGTCTTCAACAGAATGTGAAATATGTGTACTACAAAGAGTCACATCAAACCATCGTGAATTTTTGGAGTGTGTTTCACAAGCTCCCAGAAGAAAAAAAGAAAAAGTTTCTTGGTAATATTTTGACATTCTGAACTTTCTTATAGCTCTCCCTCACAGGACAGATTTAGATGCTTCTGTGTGAAAAATACTGTACTTCCAAACCACTCTTCAGTGTGCTTCCAGCCCCCTTTCCCCTTCTCTCCCCCTCCCATTTTCTAGTGTAAGCCACAATGAATTGGCACAAAGAATAGCATAGTCACAGTTCTGACCTTTCTCACCTCCCCTGAGGCTTGCTTAAACACATCCCGCACTCCTGGACTTTGCAATTAGTTTATTTCTTGCTTTTGTAGAGATCACTTGTTGGTCAGAGGGCTCAACTTTAATGCTGACACGAGCTGTTGAGCTTTCTCAGAGGATCACAGAAGCTAATTCATCCTTTTTAATTGGGAAAGGTCAAACCTAGCTTGGCTTTTCTCATTCACAAAGTCTGTATAAGTAAAAGTAAAAGTTTTATACTTACAATAAATCAGCAAAAGACTATTATATTCAGGTATAAATTCAACAATGCCAAATAATTAGCTTATGTAAATAGCTCTATGTTTATACTGGCTTTCCTTCATGTTTTTCGTCTTTCAATAGCATTTTCTTTCTTTTTTTTTTTTTTTTGTTTGCTTTAAATTTACTAATTTGCTTCCCTTTCCCTCTCTTTTGTTTAGCTTTTATATCAGGATCTGATCGAATCATTCCTTTTGGACTAGAGTATTTTGTGTTTTTTATTGAAGACCCTCTGTGTGAAAATCCAGATAATTCATATCCTTCTGCCCGTACCTGCAACTACACTCTCTTTCTCCCCAAGTACAGCAGTAAAGAAATACTTGAGGAAAAATTACTTTTTGCCATAGAGTATAATGAAGGTTTTGGCTTGCAGTAGCTCTTGGTCAGGAGCATGATAAAGCACAAACAAGAAAATCAGTGGTTGTTTCACTCGTAGTATTTTTCCTGATTTATTTTGATGTGGTGATTTCTATTCTTATTTTTACTGCACTTTATAAAAACACTTGAGTGTGTGTATTCAACTGAGAATGTTTATTTATTATAAATCCTTGCAAGAAGCAACTTGGTAACCAATTATATTTACATAGATGCTCATCCTGCACTTTAGTGGTCTTATTTAGTTGATGAGCTTTCAACAGTAAGGTTTCTGTTATTCATATGTTACCAACACACAACCAGCATATGCTAAGCAGTAATCACTGCAAGAGGGAGCATTTTCGTCTGTATTAGTTAAGGATTCTTTTGGAGAATAATCCAACTCTAAGGAACCATGTTCCTTTCAACTTTGAATTGAGGAGCAGCCTGTACTTGCCTGAATATGGCCTTTATCTGAGAGAAGTTCTAAGATGAGGACTTGATCATTCCTAGACTTTGTCAGGACAAATCTGTATTTGTAATGGATGTTTTATTGGTCAGTGTGATAATATTTGTTGTGTTGATTTGCATCTTCTAAGGAGTTGGCTGGTAATTAATAAACCAGAATTTTAGACCTGCAGAACAGCTCTGACTACAGAACCTTGTGAACATGAGGCTTGTGAGGTTGCTGGAAGCTCACTGCCAAAACTGACACTTAGCAACAGCAGGCAGGATGTAAAGGCAGGAGGTTTATTTTTTTCTACATGTTTTACTTCATGTAAAATATATGCATTTATTTAGAGGCAATGGTTGTGATCTTTCATCAGTCTTCTTTCATTTCTTATAGTCAGTGGGCATACATGTGTAACGAAGGCTTTTACTGTGCTAAATTGATTGATTAAATTTCTACACTCATGGTTGTGTGTTCCTCCATTATGTGACTGCCTATGTGTGACAGCATATCCATTTTCTGTCATATAGGTGAGCCCCTCACAAAGGGAACCAAAGGTTGATGTAAATGTGTTTCAGACAGGTGCACTGCATACACTGAACAAGTCAAGGTCCTTAACATTTTATACAGAAGGTTCTTTATATGAATGTAGAAATGTAGAGCGAGAAGATGACTGTTTTCACATCCTCCTCTGCCTAGATTTTATGTTGTACATTACACACAATGCCTTGCTCCAGAACCACTGCACCTTAGTGATTAATAAAGTGTTCTACTTCCATGCTGCAGAACGTTAGGGTGCTACAACCTCTGTCACTTTAAGCTTCTCCAGGAACACTCAGGGAACTAGCCTGTTGCCATCTGCCGGACACACTGGTGTGTTTGTAGGTATGGGTATCACAGCAATGCCCCTAGTTGAAGCATTTGATAAAACTCACAGTGCAAGATCAGGTTGCACCCGGAAATATGTCATTTGAAGACAGGTGAGAAATGAACAGGGAATGCAGAGAAAATAACTTTTTTTTTTTTTTTTTATACTACTCGGGACAGTTCAAGGACACTGCTCAGAGCTTTCATGTGACAGCTCCAGCAGCCTTTCGCTCCATACTGTCACAGCCTGTCTCAGAGAAAAACGTGCCTCCAGGCCTCTTTTTGCTTCTCTCAGAGGCCTGGAAGATTGAGCCTAGGTTCAGAAAAAGAAACCAGGAGCTAGGCTTTCTAAAGGGTTTGGCAGCCACTGTCACTTAGATGTCTCACCTCTGCAGCAGAGCTTTTAAAAACGTGCATGCTGATAGACTCAAAGCCATGTTCCACGTGCATCCACAGGGGAGCCTTTGCAATGAAATAAAGTACAAAGCCTGCTTAATGAAAATAGACTAGACACCATAGCAGTGATACCCTTTGTCACGTATAAGGATATTCAAATTACAGGGATTCTTCCAGGAACACGTAATTTTCCCAAGGGTACATGTAAGTACCCTTGGGAAATATTCTATACCTCAGTAGGCAAAAAATATTACTGCAGCATTGTGTCCATCAGTGAAGATAAAGAGCCTCTTGTACCAGGGAAGCTACTTCTTCAAAATACCTATAATATATAAAAACAGTAAACCCTTTTTGTCAGTGATTGTTGGGCTCAGTGCTTTATTTCTTTAGGAAAGGAACTGCTTCCTAGGAAAGACATAGGTGTTTTTCATGAAATTCCAGCTCAGTATAAAGGACTTTGTTGCATAGTAAGAAAGTTGCAATATAGCAAGCAAAAAACTGCAAGCTGTCAGTGCTGGGTTGCATAGCTGTGTGGGGAAGCCAGGTGCACAGCAATGGTGAGAGGAAGAGAGGCACAAGTGGCTCAGAGGATGCCAGCTGCCATCCCAATGGCACAGAAGGGACACATGCCCCTGCCCTGGGCAGCCTGCTCAAAAAGCTGTCAGTGTGGTCTGCTCAAGGTGTCTTTCTTTCCATGTTATGTGAAAAGAGTCACCATCCCACCCCTAGCTGATGCTACCACATCATGACAGCTGACAGTTGTCACAGCTTAGCGTGCTGCTGCTCTTTAGCTTCTGCCTGCTTCATTCTGTCTTTTTCATTTATTTAATTATTTTTAATGCTTTTCTAAGTCTCTGTTATGGCTTGGAAATCCAGAGCGATCTTCTGTCCTCTGCAAGTCCATAAAAGATGTATTCTGTTCAGATTTCGAAACAACCCATCAGAGATTAAATGATAATAGGTTTATTTAGAGCCTGAAGGAATTTCCTTATCATGTATGATGCAACAGCACATGGGAGATTAAATCCCAGAATACCTTTCAAGCCTATTTTTAATTTGTCCTCAAACGAGCCCTGCTTTTATTAAAGACTTTCCAAAGGAGTAGAATAGAGCATTCTCTGTCATTTTCTGAAATGACTTTAAGCACTGAGCTGCATCTACATTTTCTCAAGCAGTGCTTATTACAAAATATGTGAAGAAATACAACATGAGTGAGCCTGATACTCAGTTGTGAGTTTAAAAGGCTTTACACAGGCATCACAAGTGTATCAAACCTGCAGTGGGACTTTTTTAGTCTGCTCTTCTGATCCAAACATCACCTGTAGAGACGTGCAGGAACTTTGCAACTCTGCAAAGCAGCAGATGCAGAGCGGATGTGGGGCGACCAAGACACCACACAGAAAAACCACTTCCATGGCGGGCAGCCAGACCCCACCTTGGCTGCTGGCAACTGGCATGGGCAGCTATCCCTGGCTGATCCCTTCCAGCAGAAGGCTGCCAGTGGCACCTAGAAAAGGGCTCTGGTGAAAAATACCTACCAGAAGAGGATCGACGGGGCAGCTGAAAGCTGTCAAGTCGTATGCCACCACTGACACCCCTGCAGCTCTTGTCACTGTGCAGCTGCTTAGTTGCGTTGGACAGGAGATAGACGATTGATAAATTGAGTTGTAGATTTGGGCATCTCTGGATGTTTTCCTGCTGTCCAGATAAATTCAGTTTTCACGTTGAAGGAGCTCCTTTTTCTCAGCAGGACGACCTCAGCCATTAAGGAAAGGGCGAGCTCCCTTCGACCTCTCGGGGCAGCCATTACCAGCAGTAGAGCACAGGCCCGAGCCCTGGCTGCCTGATTCCGCCCAGGGAAACCAGGGACGGGAAAATCCGTGGCGCTGCCAAACGGAGCCGGCACGACGGGGCTGCCCGCGGGAGCGGCCTCCAGAGGGAGCCGCGCGCAGCCGAGTGCGCGGAAGCCACCAATTCGCTTGGGCGGGTTTGCCATGTTACGCCGTTATGGAGGACGGGCCTTGAGAGCTGCGCACGGACTCGAAACGCGGGCAGTTAGCGGTGGGCTTAAGCATCAGATTCCTCTGCCGACACCTCCGTCACGTCGGCAGCACGCGCAGCTCCGGCCCTCGCGCTGAGGGAAGAGCCCGGCAGCCGCAGGGAGCCGCCCGCCGCCCCGCCCGGCGCCGGCCATTGGCCGCGAGCAGCCATTACTCCCGCGGGCGGCGGTGGGGGGCCGGACTTCATCGTCGCCGCGGCGGCAGCGGCAGGTGAGTTGGGGGGCTGGGGGTGACCGGGTGGCGATGGCGGTGTTGCGGAGGAGCCCCTCGCGGAGGGCGCGAGCGCGGAGCGCCCCAGCGGGAGCCCTGCGTCCCCGCCGCGAGGGCTGGGAGGCGGGCCGAGGGGGCTGACGGCTGGGGCCGGCTTCCTGTGTGGGGCAGCGAGAAGTGCGCGGCTCCCGGCTGCGATCGTTCCCCGTCGCGCCTCCCGTTCCTCTGCGCTGCTGCGGGCGGCGGGCCGGTCGAAGCAGGAAGGAAAAGGGGCTCGACGGCAGCAAGCGGCGATAAATCCCGTCCCTGTGCGGCCGCGCCGGTACAGCAGCGCTGCCGGCTGAGTTGCTGCCTTGGCCAGAATGGGAAACGAAGCGTGAAGCTTCATTTGAAGCTTTGTGTTCCAGGACGCTGCCCTTCCGCGTGTTGACTTGTCTTTGCGTTTGGAGGAGGAAAAACATCCGCGCAAACGTTAAAGCAGTCGCGGTTTTAGAAATGTGCTGTGTTTTCGGAATAACTAAATTAAATACATGGCACATCAGGCCTTGGGAAAACATCTGGGTGTGCCCGTGCGCTCAGATGGAAAGCGGCCGTGTTGGCTTCTGCTCCTGAGTGAAGGGTGCTGCTTCAAGCCGTGCCTTAGCACGAGGAAAGATCTGCCCGTGGCACCCCCTGCTCCGTGCAGCAGCTTCTCGTGTGGAAAATGAACGCAAGCAATTAACTTAATTAAGGTATTTTTAGCATTTTAAATGAAATTAGCAGCTGGAAAGACGACTGGGACCTGTGGAGAGCAGACTGTTCAGAAACTCTTCTAGCAAGGTATCCTAAATTACAATTTAGCTCGTGATGTACGGAGTCACTGTAGTGGTAGAGTGGTACAATCGGCAGCATTGCCTTACAGGGAGTGTGAGCTTCGGGGCGGCTGCTCTTAACTGTAAAGCTGCTTTTATCTTTTGTAAGGTGAGAATTGCTCAGGCTGAGAGAGGTGGCAGTGTTTTTTGAGGCAGGTTATGAAGTTCTCTATAAATATAGCTATTGTGTCATTTAAAACATAAGCATGTGCATGACTTCAGTGTTAGTGCGTTCCTATTCTTGGTGTCCGGAGTAGCCAGTGGTGACTTCCATTGGGCTGATGTGCCGAGGGCATCTGAGCACAGCCATTGGCTTAACAGAGCCACAGTAACCTCCTGCTTTATAAACTGGGGGTGCTTTGAAGCTGCTCAGTGACAGTCCTGAAGTGTGGATGACTTGAGCTGTGCTTGAAAGGAATAGAGGCTGTTAGAAGTAAATAGGTGACAGTGCATGCTTTGGAGCACCTAGTAAGAGACCTTAGCAAGGAGTTTGTGAGAGAAGATGGCTGTAGTGGTTCCATCTTCTGTCTCTCTTGGCTTGGCACTGCCTTGGTTGACGTGAGTGCACCTGGTGACAGGATACAGCCACGGGTAGGCAGCTGGTAGGAGACGAGGACCCCTTGCTTAGGGCTCAGATTATGGAAGGCTTTATGGCTAATGCAGCTTGAATTAGCACCAGGCTTTGGGAGCTGCATGCGTGTGTTTCCTGTCCGAGTGGGGAAATCTCCTTTTCCTGAGGAATCTGCGGTGATGCCTGAGAGGTTACCTCTGGTGTTAGATCCTGTGCTGACGTAGTGAGTGCTGCAGCAGTAAATTGCCTTAGTTTAAAACTTGCCATGGTGAGTCATGAGGCTTGATGTCTAGGATATTTCTTTTTCTCTGCTCTCTTTTCTTTCTGCTTACAAAATAGGGAAGGCTTATAATCAGTTCCTATTTCAAGCAGAGAAATTCTCTGTCTTCTTAATACAACATGTTTAACAATGGCCCAAGCATAATGAGGATAGGAGTACAAGGAAGTGTCAATAAAATCTTTCAGATGCTCATTCTGGAACAAGGAAATGAGAGTTGATTGCCTAGCTCTCACATGTTAGAAAGCTGTTGTCACTGCTAAGCTTAGACTGTGCAGTGAGATGGTCCTCTTGCCTATTGCTGTTTCTTTTTCCCTTCCTATGTTGCTGCACTCTCTGAAATCTGAATTTCACTGAACGCAGCCCAGAAGGCAGTGACATGAGAGCTTTATCTGTTGCTGTCAGAGGCTGTGCTACCAGTGTGCTGCTCTGTGTGAACTGCTTTTTATTGGAAAATCTTGCTGCAGCACAGCGATGTGTGCATGTGAACACACACATTTAGGTTGGAGGAATGTGTTAAGTTGTTCAAACTGCTTCTTAATCTGAGTTTATCAGAAATGATACAGTCCTGCTGTACTAAGAACAGAACTGCTTGGGTCTGCAGGATTTCAGAGCACTCTCACTGCCCTAGAGATGGAGATGGCCAGTGCTTGAAGATGCTGACTCAGTATCTAACTGAGCTGTCCTGGGCTCCTCTTTATGCAATGGCAGAAATGCCTTCTTGTTGTCAGTCCCCAAGCAAGACAGTTGTACTGGCTAAGCTTTTTTTAATTGTTTGCCCCTCCTGCTCAGAGCAGCTCATCTGTGTAGGATTACTTGTTGGGTATTTGCTTCATCCATGCCCTTTCCCCTGTTTCTCTTCCCAGGAGAATACATGACTTGCTGAAAAGAGAGAAAATGCTATGCTGGGGTTACTCATCTTTTGGACAACCTGGGATAGGTAGCAACCTCCAGGTCATCATTCCCGAACCCCAGGTGTATGGATTCATTCACGACAGAAATGTCAAGGAGGTGGCATGTGGAGGAAACCACTCGGTGTTCCTGCTGGAAGATGGGGAAGTGTACACCTGTGGCTTGAACACCAAAGGCCAGCTGGGGCACGAGAGTGAAGGAAGCAAGCCAGGTAAGTTTGTCACTTGTGTGTGCTTTCTAACTGGCTGAGGCTGGCAGGCTGAGAAAGTGATGGAAGCTGCTTTGTGCTGATTGCGGTGCATTTGGAGCAGCTGACTGAGCTGAAGGTTGTGTCTCACCCAGTGATGCTGGATTGTATCTGCTGCCTTTGGAAAGCTGCAGCTGAGCAGCATGGGTGGGTAGACAAGTCTGCTCACTTTGTCTGGAAAATGTATCAAGAAGCAGAGTGGTGATGGTGTTGGGATATGTTTTGTTACTTGACATTAGGGTGCCCTGTTGTAACAGGAAAGAGAGGGCTGTGAGCCCCAAGTGTCTTCTGCTTTCTTTGCAGTTGGGTTGCGTCCTTACACCAAGAGCAAACAGTAGTTTGACAGTGTACTTATTTTTTGTAAATCCTGAAGCTGTTCTTATGGACTTTTTTTTTTTTTAATGTTGGCCATATAATTTGCTTTCTTTTAACTTGTTAACTTTGTTTTGTCATGTAGCAAAAACAGAGGTATCTCTGTTTCATAATAAAAATCCTTCCATGAGTAATTAGGCTTGAGTAATCTTTACTCCTACTGTTGGCTACCCTCTGTAGGCTTGGGGCTTCTGTAGCCTATCTTGTTATTTTGTGACTACTATAGGAGATATACTAAATGAAGAGCAGTAGCTATTTTATATACTTGCAGATCTGACCTGACTGATTCCAGTGTCCTTTTGTAGAGTGTCTTTTGTCCTTTTCTCTCAATCATGAGGTAGTAGATGTTGAATTAGAGGAGGCTGCAGGATTAGAAGAGCTGACCTAGTCTTTTTGTCGTCTTGCTTTTCCTGCAGTGCAGACAACTAAAGAGACTGGGATGTGACACCAACTCCTAGTTATCCTACGTGTTCCATTCATTCTGAGAGTTCCTGCAGTGCTTGTTTCTGAGGAGCCTGTGACCATGCATGTGAAAACATGCGCTTCTCCCTCAGCACAGCACTGCAGGCTGCATCTGTGACGGAGTTCTGCTGACTTGGGCAGGTGGGAGGGATGTGCTATAAAGGAACAGCTTCCTTTTTTAGCTCTTGGTGAAGAGCACCACAGCAGCTTCATTAGTAACAATGAACTGGAGGAGGGTCCCATCCCACACATGGCTTGCGGGGGTCCACTTTGGCTTGTGGCATTGGGAACTGATTTTTTCAGTTCTATGTGAATCTCACTTTTCAGTTTTCCCTTCCCTATAAAGAATAAAGACAGTCTGCACCTTCTTTATAGGAAGATATGCTAAGGATCATGTTTCTTACTGTCTGTTAGTTGCATGGAGAGGTATGTGCAGGACAGAGGGTCCTGAGCTGTTGAAGGTGATGAAAAGTTTCTAGTGTGCCTGCAAGGAAGGGAAATGGGGAGATGTATGGAATGGAAGTCTTGCTGCTGCTTTACTCTGACCTGTGCAGCGTGAACCTGAGGCCCTGCCTAGTCAAGGGAGGCAGCTGGAAGTGGGCTTTGTCTGCTCCCTGTGACATAAGACTGACTGTCCCCTATGGGCAGCCACTGCAGAGCCCTTTCAGTTGTTTCAGGAGATCCTCTTAGAGCAGTCCTTTAGCACCTTTTGAAATGGAAGACTCTTCTTAATTAAAAAGCTGTATTTATTATCACATTTGCTGAGCTTGAGGATGTAATGCTGAGATAGAATAGCAACCGGTTAGGTGATTTTTTTTTTTTGCTACCTCTCCACTGCAGGAAACAGAAATTACTGAGTTGAGTGCACTCCACAGAATGAGTCAGTAAAGACTTCTCTTCTGAAAGTGCCCCTTTCATCAGCTTTTACTTTCTAAGGGAAGCAATTTGGAGATTCTCCTGGTTAACAGTCAGCTGTTGTGCAAAATCAGTCTGAGGTAATATTAATTTCTTGAGTATCATCAGGTGTTAACATGAATTAAATTGATTGTGTGGATTCAGATATTGCAGGGGGCATTGCCTCAGTTTATGTTGTGAAATCTATCTGCCCACAGCTGAAGCAGTGACAAACGTAGCATCAATGTTCACTGCAATATGCTTAGTAGTAAACTGTGTAACAGCAGAGAATTCACATGTGTGACCTGTTTGTAAGGACTACCTGGATTGATCTTCCTTTTTTCACCTCTTCCTGGCTGGAAGGAGGCCACGTGGGAGGCCTGGATGGCTCCAGAGCAGGAGCAGAAGTGGCAGAGTTTGTGTTCATTGGAACAAACAATGGAAGGGAACAAGTCCAGTCTCTCCAGATCCCTCTGGATTAGCAGCACAACCCATTGGTGTATTGACCACTCATTCCAATTTTGTGTTGTTTTCCTTTCTCTGCACAAAGTTTGAAACGAGAGCCAGGAAATGCTGCAAAACAGACTTTTCACAAAAGATGAGACAGTTCTGTTCCCATTTGGGCACAGAGCTGAGGCTCAGTGGGGATCTAACTTCCAGAAATCATGTACTTTAGACACTTCTGGCTGCAAGTTGAAAACAGATGTTCCTGCAGCAGAGCTGTGAAGAAACGCTTACTCTTAACACTGGATCTGCCTTTTAAGCAGCTGATTGCCTATGTAAGCTCCTGAAGAAGAAATGGAGATATAAGCATCTGTACTTTTCCCAGCATGCCCTTCAAGTCTTACATGTAATCATTCTGCATTTCTCCAGCGTGACATCACTGCACATTCCTGATCTTTCTTCTGCTCTGTAATTCTTTGGGCTTTGACATTGCCTGATGTGCACGGTACCCTCTGTTAAATGACTAAATTGCATGTCCTTGACTGGAGAAGCACAAAATATTCCATATTTCCCAAAGTTTGTGGTAATGTGTCCTACTTGAGCGTTCAAGTGGGTCACTTGTACAAGCCCCACATGAGCATGATACTCCTATTCCTTTAAACATCCAAAAGACCAGTTTGTCTTCTGAAGAAAACAAAGAAATGAAATATAGACAGGAATCACAGTCTACTTTTGCTCTATATCTAGCAGCAAGCTGTGAGATTAGTTTTTCAGCTAACGCCTTCCATTTTTATTTCTGAAGTACTGTTGCTAAAGCATATGTTTTCAGGAAAAGCTTTCTCCAAAAGCTGTCTGATAAATTCATCATGAGTTGGAGTTAGACTTCAGCATGTACTCTCTAAACATATTTTTTATTATCCCAAAAGATGGTGTGTTCAAATAACATCAAGCTGCTGTACTTCTGAAAGTTACTAAGCCTAATAATAAATAAAAATGCTTTTGTAAATGTTTAATAGGACTGTTAATTTCCTCCCTTTCCCTATTAGGGGACTTCTTCTCAGGCAGTGCTTGTGCAGTAGCTTATAGTGTCATTGAAAGCAAGGACAAACGTGGTGTATGGAGCCTGCACTGTGCTGGTGTGACTTTGTTCTGTTCCTGTGCAAATCACTGCAGGATGGAATTAAGCAGGAACTGAGCAAGGAACACACCAGGTGCTTTTGAACATTCCAGCCTCCTTAATCAGCCTGGGGCTGCCAAGTACACTTAAAAGATCTAGCCTCCCTTCTAGAAGAAAATACGAAATGCTCCTGTGAAGGCAGAATATGTCCTGCTGTGCAAGACTGCTCCAATAACATGAAAAGATGAGGAAATAGCACCTATCCAGTTGCATGAAGCAGCCTGCAGGATTGAGCACAACAGGTGGATCAGAGTCAGCTCTTATCTTACCTCCTTTCTACCTCCTAAGGCAGTGACTGAGCCCCAAGGATAGGCTGAACTGGGTTGTTGAGCCCTCAGTGTGTGTACTGCATATATTTCATTAGGGCTGTAGGAAGGAGGTGGTGCTACATCTGGGGGAAAACTGCAGGGAAGAAATAAACAGATCCCTCTTCATAGCAGTGCTGGGAGATGGGAGTGCTGCTTTCTAAGTGGAACTGTCAATTTTATGTTGGTTCCCTTTTCTTTTGCCTTAATAAGGTTTGCTCAGGAATTGTCACATGACTGCAGTAACCTCTGTGTGGGTATTATGAGCTACAGTGAAGGGCTTGTTCTTCCTTCTCCCTGACCTGCTGTCCTTGTGTACTGCCATTGACACTTGCCACTGTTACTACTCATGTGGAACTCATTCCTTTGAATTTAATCTGGAATACTTAATCCTTTGCTGTCTTTTTCCCCCCCCATTTTTATTCAGTGAGTCAGCCATGTATTTACATTCCTTCTCTTCCTTTTCTGTAACCAAATGAAGAGTCTTACAAGCACCAGTGCTGCTGTTGTCAGTTCCTCTGGTGGGACTGCTGCTCCAGTTCCTGATGCGAGCATAGTAGTAACAGACCCATGTATAGGAACTGAGAAAGGCCATATGTCTTAAGTGTTTCTCATTAAGAATTTTGGTTCTGATTAAGAAGTCCAGGTCTGCTCCTTTCCCTCAGTTCACAAAAGGATGACTGCAATATTTGCAGTTGGACTTGTAAAGCCCAGTGTCCATAATGGATTTAGTAAACTGCAGCTGACAAAAGTAATGAGAAGTTCCACGCTGATGTAAATATTTGCTTGCTCCCTATTTCACATCTTTTGCTCCATACCAACACAAAATAGGTTACCTTGCACAGGTGAGAACAGTGGGCAGTTCTACTCTACAGCCTAGAAACAGACCCAGGAGCTCCATGTGCAGAAGCATCTCTGCAGTGTGCTGCTAGGGACGCAGCAATCAGAGGGGTCTGCTCTTGTTCTGTGCACGTGCAAAGCTGGGTTCCTCCCACACCCTTACACGCTGAGACTTGTGCATGGTAATTCCAGCTGCCTATGTGTTGCATGTGTCATGCACCTAACCCTAGCAGAGGCTGTCATCACCAAGGTGTATTCCTGAAGCTGTTCTCCAGGCCTTCCTCTGAGCCATCTTTTGATTATTGCTGACAAACAGCACCAGAGATGTGTGAATGGAGCCACAGAAGCTGTCTTGACTTCTGTGCTTCCTTATGTGCTGACAGGATTATGCAATTGGGCTGTATTCGCAGTTTCATGGAGTACCTGCTGAATGCAATAGCAGGATTTTCATGGGGATTTTTGGCTGTTGG